CAGGAAACTGATTCAGTGCCCATGCAGATTCCTGCTGGATAGAGCACGGCAGTGTCCCCTCACTCTCCATCAGAGAACCATTAGGATTTGGGCTACTGTCCTTGAAATAGTTACTTGCTTGCTCAATCCTGCTATGGGATTTAAAAGAGTCTCTGCAGTTCTCCAAAGAGCCAAATTTATTTTCAGTAACTAGAGTCTTAAGTTCCAGCGCATTACAGTTTCTAAATAATACAGAATTTTGGAGTTAAAAGAAACCTTCTTTTCAAGGAAACTGAGGCACAGAGGAGCAACTTGCCCAAGTGTGCTTAATGGAAGTGAGAGTATAGCAGACTGAGAGGGGCAGAAGGAAGATGATTTTGGAGGTTCGTTATTGAAAGTATTTAGCACAGTTCTTGGTTCATTCATTCATTCATTCATTCAGTTCATTTATTCATTCAACTCAGCTGTACTGAACAACATTGTGTGTCAAATGATGTAGTAGGTGCCTGGGATTTAGGGAAACAAGACCAAAAATGCTTCTGTTCTCTTGGAGCTTACAGCATAGTAAGGGATACAGAAAACACATAAGTGGGTGTTTATTTACTACAGATTTTTATTTTGGTTATAGAGCAAACTAAGCAGAGTGCGGGAACATAGGAAATGAGAAAGGAATGCCTTCTCTTTAATCTCTCAAGAGATAATCATGAAGACTTAGATAAGGTTGACTTTGTATAGAATATTCCAGGCTTGGACAACCACAAGTGCAAAGACTATAATGTGGGGTAAAAGAGTGTATCACATGATGAGGCAGGATGCTCCTGAAATGAAGCGTTGGATACCAGAGGTGGCCAAGAAGACTGGAGAGAGACAGGGTCAGATCATGTAGGCCATGGTGTTTTCTACTAAGGCCATGCTCCATATAGTAGATAAAATTATTATCTTAGCCTCATTTTTCAATTTCACTTATATTAAGGGTAACACCAAGCACTGTCCCAGGCACAAGTTGGGAAATTCATATGTAGAGCTTTCTTACCCTTTGCATTATTCTTTAAAGTCATCTCCAGTCAGTCACTCCCTCTGTAAAATCACACTCAGTATGAGTGAGGGAGTATGTGTGAGGGAAAGCGAAGAGTCAGAGTAATTAGACTTGGGGTAGAGAGAATGAGGAGGAGCAAGGATTTCCACACTGAAGGCAAATTAAAGAGAGAGAAGCACCTTGCCAAGCATTGGGAACCCTTCTGGGAGTTGGTGGATGGATAAGGGAAGACGCGGACACACGTGACCTGTGGTTGCTGGAGGTACTTCTCCCTCTGTGCAAATTCATGGAGATAGTTTGTTCATATGAAAACCCTACTCTTCTGTAGCCTAATCAAGTCTTAATATTTGAATTTCAAACTAATTTGGGGGAAATAACTTTTTCAGATTCTCATCATATAGTACTTGTTCAATATGAATAGAAATAATTACTTTGCTGGAGTGATTAGCATGTCCAAGAATAACTATAGACTTTTCCCCAATTTTTACTTTTAGCTACATGTCAAATAACTTTTTAAAAGTATGTTTGATTTCTTATTTAATAATACTAAAAACTAGGGAAATATAATAAAGATACAGGGAGAAAGCCATATTGGCCCAGCAAAGAACACATTCTTAGTACTGATTTTAGTCACAAAAAATATAAAAGCTGTTAATACTCATCTTTTCTAAAGAAGCCTGGCAGCACGTGGTTGCGTTTTTTCCTAGACATTTCTGAAAGCCTACTTTAGGACAGTCATTCATTTTGATTGAAGGTCCTTCACAGTAAAGTGAGCACATAGGATCTGAATCAGGTGGTCTGGAGACCATTTGGCAGCCTGACTACTGAGAGAGTGACCTTATATGGGCCATTTACCTAATCTGAGTTTCAGTTTCCTCACCTCTGAAGTGAGAATCTGGAACTTACCTCAGGGAGTTGTTTGATATTGTATACCACGATTATGTAAGATGCCAGACACCTTCACTGGAATCTCATAGGGCCCTCAATAAAAGAGATCTCTTTATTTCCTTTCTTTTCCTCAGGTAGAAAGATTGATTCAGTGGTGGCCAGAATCAGGACATGGAACTCCCAAGTCCTCAGTCTTTCTAGAAGGACCACTCAGTCTTTCTAGCAATGCAGCAGGTAAGATCTCCATGTTTGTTTTTACAAATTGTTGCCTAGGGCTAATGGAACAAGTTAAGCAGGATTGTGTAGAGTTTTTTGGTCTTATTTTGACCAGAATGGGAAAGCCCTGACATCTTTAATGTCCTATTTCAAGCACAACTGGCTCTGGAGGTCCAAATGAAGCTCCAGTAAGCCAATTTGAGTCTTCTCCTACGATTTTGAAAAGGGCACTTGCACTTTTACATGCAATATGGTAGAGTTTTTTTGTTTTGTTTTGTTTCCTTTTTTTGAGTTGGAGTCTCTCTCTTGTCGTCCAGGCTGGAGGGCAGTGGTACACTCACGGCCACCGCAGCCTCGACCTGCTGGGCTCAGGCAATCCTTCCACCTCAGTCTCCCAAGTAGCTGGAACTACAGACACACACCACCACGCCCAGCTAGTTTTTGTGATTTATTGTAGAGACGAGGTCTCGTCAAGTTGCCCAGGCTGATCTCGAACCCCCAGGTTCAGGCAATCCTCTCTTCTCGGCCTCCCAAAGTGCTGGGATTACAGGCTGAGCCACTGCACCCGGCCATGGTAGAGATTTTAAAAAGAGTTCTTTTTAAAAAAATATTTGCAGATTATTAGTTTAGAATGAAAACTGGATGAGCCATCCCTTTTGTCCCTTCCTCCAAGCCTCACAGCCAGTATTGCCACTGAAATGAATAGAAACTGTAAACACAGGATAAACTATGATAAGACAGAGGATAGAGAGAAAAATGTTTGTGTCCATGGCTGGTGCAAAGATAAACTAATCTCACTGTCCCCTGTTCCCCCTAGATTTTTCTTGGGAGTTCTGCTCTTAGACATTTGGTTTTTTTTAATTGCTTTTTGAGCTATGTATTCCCTAGGCTACCAGAAAAGAGCTGCTTTTATCAAAGGCACTTTAAGTCCACATTTATTTAAATAGAAGAGAAAGTCTAGCAGTCCTTCCCATGCCCCACCAGGCCAGCCTTTTGGGAGAGATGTGACCATTTATGTGAACCAATTGGGTATCTAATGAAGAGACATCTCAACAGCAAATCATTCTCTTAAATGCAACAGAAGTCCTCAACCTCTGTTACAACAGGCTCCTGGGAAGGGATGCTTCTTTGCATTTTGAGGGCAAAAATAAACATAAAATGTGCATTTTGAAGGCAAACATAAAATCTGAGTGTTTTTTCTCAGTGAGTACCCACATTCCATTACACTTTAATGAACGGTAGTAGTACTCTCAGATGAGGCCTTAAGATAAAGGGTTAACAATTGTTTATTTACCTTTAAAGTTCTTTAGTTGTCGACATTACTGTGACATGCTTTTTTTATTTAGAGACACTTTTAATGTCTAAAGATTTGTTAATGCCACTATAGTCTAGAAGTAACTAGCAGATGCTCTTCTGCCTGACTGGAGAGGCAGCGTCTCATGGTAGAGGAAGCACTGACTGTGTGACTTTGGCAAAGTCATTTTTACCTCTTGCAGAGTGTGAGAATTGGATATGGCAATGTTTGTGATTGCTTTCAGCTGCAACTTTAAATATGTTCTATAACTCTGCACAGTGTAATCATCTCATGGACAATAGAGACATCTGGTCAACTTTTTTGATTATCTACTTTCAGTGCAATTAAAAACTTAAGTCTGAACTCAATGTCTGTGGAGAGATGCTCTGTAAGTATGAGACGGAGCACTGGAGAGTGAGGCCAGATGACTGTCTGAGAGGGCCTTTCCCAGGGATTACAGAATCCACAGTTCTGCATTCATGTGGAGGGACTGATCTACTTAGGAAATGACTGCCCATTACCAACCAACAACACAGCAACCCCAGGCCTTTTAAACAAATAATTACAAAACAGCTTGTGTTATTTTAGATAAGAGCATTGCCTTATGCCGCAATAATCACTTAAATATAAAGAGATGTCCCAGTAGGCCACATAAATATAACCTGGTTATGTTTTCTGACTTTCCTCCAAGTTCAAACTCCTGATCTTTTTTTACATTAATGCTTCTGGTTTAAACATCTGGCCAGCCTTTCCAGATGTGGATTATAAGATGTTTAACAGTATCCCTGGCCACTATCTGCTAGCTGTTAGTAGAGTACCCCTCTCTCAAATATGACACCTGGAAATGTTTTCAGATATTGCCACATATCCCTTGAGGGCAAAATTACTCTGGATTGAGAATCACTAGTCTATGCTTTTTTTTTTCCTTCAAATTTTTTATTTTCTTTTTTAAGCATAAGACCAAGTGCTCAGAAGTTGTTACCTTATTGTTATTATTATTCTGAACATTACTAACATCTTTCATTTATATAGGCTTTCACAATTTACCAAGTGTTTCCACCCACATTATCTGCAGAGATTAATGCATGGCAGTTCAACGTCTAACACAAATTAGAAGAGAGAAGTATCGTTACTGTAACTGCTCCTGTTCACCTTTTTGCTGTGCTTGGAATCCTGCATGCTTGACAAAAGAGGTCTTACCATGAGGAAGATATATTTAGGACAAGTCAGGCATTGTGTAAATGAGATCTGGCTCAGTCTTTTCAAGAGGCTTTAAAAAAAGGGATATTTAATCACCTTGAAAAATGATATCCTTCTCCTCTCATCTTCTGGTAGGATTCACATTCTACTCAGTATATACATAAAAACACACATCGACAATTAGACACTGACAGGTGGCTTTAGTGAAGCCACATGAACTCCCTGAGCCCCTTGGCTCTTTAAAATGGTCCTAAAAATTCTAATTTTTACCCTAAACTGGACTGCTGCAATTTTGTCATGCTGCCCTAAGTGTAAACTAGATGGTATTTTTGAGAAACAGCAAATAACATTTCCCCTACACTCCCACCTCCTCCCTAGCCCTCTTACCTGCTTAAGGATTTCAGCGGCTGTTTCATGTGAACAATCAAATATCACATAGAACTCCTTGCCCTTCTTCATCTCCTTGAGTAAAGGCTTGGCATCTTTATTCCCAGAGGGCAGCTGGCGGATTTTGATTTTAATGTTATATCTGGAGGGAGCTTTGATGAGCTCTTGCAGACGAATTAGACCTAGAAAATGACATCCAATCATGCAACAGAGACTGTTCTGTGGAAAGAGTACTGTTTATTGCCATTTATAGTCAAACTCGTATCATCTTCAAAATGTATCAGGTGGTCACCTTCCTAAAGGTTACACTATTGACTTTCCATTTGTCATTCTTCTATCTGTGGTGAATTATACTATTTTTCCTTTGTGGGTATATGTGGCTTGGAAGCACAATTTTCCCAAGAGTATTTTAAAATTTATTTAGAATGCAGTTGTCCTTTTCAGCTTTCAGCAAGCACCTCAAATCTTTAACAAATCAAGCCTGCAGCTGTGAAACTTTTGTAGACAAAAAGTTACTGGAAGTTTTAAAAAGTGTTCATTTTTATATAGATCACATCTATACACTTAAAAAACCAATAGAATATGAGGATTTCTTGAGGCCATAAACTCCAGTCAGCTTTCTATGATATATTCATGAATTGTTTACCAGCTAATTAGTTGGGCTGCATTATATAATCTTTCAGATCCTGGCATATAAACTATTTGTAAATGGATTATTGTATTCTCTTGTTAATGTGTTTGCATGTTAAATTTAAAAAATCTTTACTTGATTTCTTTTTTAAAGACCATAGGACTTTTAGAGCTTATGATAATAAAGGATCAAAATTATTTATAAATTCACCATTGGTAATTATAGCAAAGTCTATGCAACCAACTAACTTTGCAGAGGATGTTTGATTTAGCACAGTTATGGATCTACTGAGCTGCACCATTCTCTAATATAAATGCTTTACTAGGGCAGGGAAACCACTATATAAAGCTTCCATCGTATTTTCTCTAAAGTTATCTGCTGCTTGCTATACTGCATAATGTTGGCTCTCACTCAAGGACTTCCACTACACTGAAAAATTGACTTTTTTTTAAGCATGCAGTTCTATGCCTTCAGGATTTGTCATCTTTAAGTAATCAATAGGAAATATTAAGCTTTATAAGTATTAAGATGGAAATTGTGGTATGCTCTGTGTAAGACAGCATAGTTCCAGCTACTTCCAGACTTGAGGCATTTTTCTTTTCTTATTTTAGTTATGCATTTTTTTTGTTTGTTTTTGTTTTTGTTACAAGAAGGCATATTTTTGTGGTTCAAATGAGGAAAGGGTTCTCTACCACCATAGTTAGGTCTGATTCTGATGTATGGTGTATTTATAACAATACCGCTCTTCAGAGTCAAATGAGTGGGGGTGACAGGGGTCTTGTAGAACCATATCAAGATTTAGTGCTCATTATCCATTTTTCTTTTTACATGAAAAATTGATATTGTTAGAACAATAACCTTCCTGGACTTTTACTCCTTTTCTAATTCGTAAATGTGGCTGAAGACTCTCAAGTACTAACAATGAGCCACTTGTCTTCTCACTTCCAGAGTCACATGTCCTAAACCACTGAGGAGGACTAAACATGGAATAAAATATAACACATGGACTCATACATACGTTATTTGTTATGTGTGTTGATCTTCACAATAATCCTTCAATGACAAGCATTATTACCCTCATTGTTTCAAATGGGGAAACCAACGCCCAGAGCAATTAGATAATTTACATAGGGTTACAGAGATAGTTGGGGTAAACCCTGGATTAAAATAGTTGTTTGTGAATCCAATACTTTACCTCACTGTCCTGATTTGTAAATACAAGTTGTTGGCGCCCAGGGAACAGATAAAGCATAGGAATGATAAAATGGGGAAAAATATAAAAATCGGGACCCATTTCCCTTTATTCTTCTCTTCAGGCTGACCAATTCTCTCTCTTTCTCCCTCTCTTATTTTCTCCTATCACCCTCTTGCTTTGTAATCACATCATTTTTTCTTTCTTTCTTTTTTTAAATTTTTTTGTGAGCATGACTGTAAAGGATATCCTAATTTGGCCTTTTATAAAATAGAAAATATAAATCATTTAAACGTGCATTTCATGTGGAGGCATCACACTGCCTGACTTCAAATTATACCACAAGGCTATAGTAACTAAAACAGCATAGTACTGGTACAAGAATTGACAGATAGGTCAATAGAATAGAATAGGTAATGCAGAAATAAAGTCACATACCTACAGTCAACTTATATTTGACAAAACCAATGAAAATAAACCCCATGAATACCCTATTCAATTAATGATACTGAGACAACTGGCTAGCCGTATGCAGAAGAATGAAACTGGATCCCTACCTCTCATCACATACAAAAAAAACCTCAAAATGGATCAAAGGCTTAAATATAAGACCTAAAACTATAAAAATCTTAGGAAAAAACCTAGAAAATACTCTTCTGGACACGGGCATTGGCAAAGCATTTAGGACAATGACCTTAAAAGCAATTGTGATAAAAACAAACAAAAAATAGATAAACAGTACTTAATTAAACTAAGAAGCTTCTGCTCAGCAAAAGAAATAAAAGAGTAAACAGAAAACCTATGAAATGGGAACAATATTTGCAAATCATACCTCAGACAAAGGACTAATATCCAGAATCTCATAAGGGATTCAAACAACTCAACACAAGGAAAAAAAAAAAAAACCCCCAAAAGTGGGCAAAGGACATGCATAGACACTTTACAAAAGAAGAGGTACAAGTGGCCAACAAACATAAAAAAAATGTTCAACACCACTAATCATCAGAGAAACTAAAATCAAAAGCACAATGAGATATCACTCTATCCCAGTCAGAATGGCTACCATTAAAAAGTTAAGGAATGACAGATGTTGGTGCATTCATGGAAAAAAGGGAATACTCATTCACTATTGATGGGATTGTAAACTCATTCAACCTCTATGAAAAACAGTATGGAAATTTCTCAAAGAACTAAAAATTGAAATGCTAGCAATTTCACTACTACCCGAAGGAAAATAAATCATTCTATAAAAAAGATAGTGTACTCATATGTTAATTGCAGCACCATTTACAAAAGCAAAATCATGGAACCTAAGTGTCCACCAATGATTGGATAAAATGTGGTATATGTACACCTGGGATACTACACAGTCATAAAAGAAAAATGAAATCCTGTCTTTTGCAGCAACACGGATGGAGTGAGAGAACAGTATCCTCAACTAACTCAGAAAGCCAAACACCACATGTTCTCATTTATTTGTAGGAGCTAAATGGCTGCAAAGATGGATAGAAATAATAGACACTGGGGACATCAGTGGGGAGAAGCAGATAGAGTATTAGAGTTTAGAAGTTACCTATTGGTTCATTGTCTGGGTAATGCTCACAATGTTTACTGTCTGGGAAATGGACCTCATGAGACCCAATCCCCACCACTACCCAATATGTCCATGTAGCAAACACGTACTTATACCCTTTGATTCTAAAAGAAGAAAACTCAAAACCAAAAACAAATTTTAAAAATACAGCATAACAACTAAAAGAAAAAACAAACAAAAAGTGCATTTCATATGCAGCAATGAACTGCTCTCTTTTTTTTGACTGAATTGAATGTTAATCTTTAAGCACATCTTTCTATCATGATGATTTGCCACACATATTTATGGGATTTAAAGTTGACATACATGTTCTCACTTTATCCATTCATTGTTATGGGAAAACATGTCCTGGATGCTCATTAGATGCCAAGCTTCATGATAAGCCCTAGGGATGCAAAACACCATTACCTGCTACAAGGTCCTCACAGCCCACAGGATAATTTTATCCCATCAACTCTCTTGAGGTAGATGGGGGATCAATTACCACTTAATTTTATAGATTATGAGCTGAGGCTGCTTTAGGCTGAAGTAACTTGCTCAAGGTTATAGAGCTAATAAGTGGCAGATCCAGGGCTTAATGCCAAGTCCGCTTTCTGTTACCAAATTAAGGGCTCTTTCCTCCAAATCAGTGGTTTCTCTTGCCTTTGGATTTCAGATGAACTCACTGAATGACTATCTAACTGACTGACTAACCATATAAATAAATAACCGCATAAGTAAACAAAGAAAGAAAACTTTAAACCAGCATAAAACGCTAAATTTTTATTTGGTACATGAAGTCATTAATAAGCACACCTACAATCATCAGTGACCGTCTACTTTCTCAATTGTTTCCTAAAAGCAAGTACATTTTAATACCAATAGAGGGAAAAGGTAGAACAACTCAGTACAAGAAACCAGTTTCTAATTGGAATACATTTATCTTTACAAAAAACTCACAGGCCCCTGCTATTCTCATTTTGCTTGCATACAGGTAAATAGGCTTCAGGAAGGGGGAGGATGAGCAGATTTAAAGATTACAGACCCAAACTGGGAAAAGAACAATGAGCAAGAGACAGTGAGGTTTACATTTCTCTTCCTGAAACAATTGTTTGCTTAAGAAAAGCCTTTCTGCCTTCATTAGCAGAGGATGTAGAATTTACAATTCAAACGGTGCAGTAGAAAAAATTTAGAGACCCCTTTCCCTTATATTTGCATTTTGCAACAATCCATCAATCATTCATATTTCATTGTAACGAATAGTTAAAAATTATTTGCGAAACAAATAATTACTTCAGGGAAAAGAAATTGATTTAGGCATAACACCTAGCTTTGCTAATCCTGTGTTTGGTTGCCAGCCCTGATGGACTGACCCAGCCCTGCCAGGACTCCAGTTGCAGAGAAAGGTAATGGTGCATGTAAAGCTGGAAATGTGATGGTTTTTTCCTGGCCTACTAAGGTGGAGAGACATTAAAAATAAAACGTAGATAAGAGAACCAGACAAACCCAATGGAGAGACATTCTACAGTAAAACTGATCTAGACTTCAAAAATGTCAATGTCATGAATGACAAAGAAAGGCTTTAATCTCTATATCAAAGAAGACAAAAGGGATGTGACAACTAGATGTCATGAGTGATTCTGGGACAATTAGGAAAACTGGAATAATGCTTTATATATATATATATATTTCCAAGAATGTTTAGATAACAGTATTATGTCATTATTAAGTTTCTTATACTTGATAATTGTAGTAGTCATATAACAAGAAAGGTCCTTGTTCTTAG